AATGTAGTGAGCGCGTGACCTCGTGGTGAGTGAACGGAAGTTCATAGACTGGATTCGTGAAACATACTCTCATTAAGTTACACTTTTCATCTGCTCAAGCAGAACGTTAATGTTATCTTGTGCTTCAGCAAGGTATCTCTGGCTAAAACTACCTAACGTTTGCGTTAAAGTTAGTGAGTCCATGCTAACGTACAAACCTTAATAGCAAATTGTTCTCACGTCATGTACCGTGCAGTGAAAGTCAAAAACACATAAATGAAGGTCTATATTAGAGTGTCTCTCCATATTAATCTGGTTAAATGTAAATTAATTTAATCTTACTCTGCGGTACGTTATATGAACGGTGTTGATCCGGGATGTTGTCATTGTGATCATGATGACCGTAACATTCTCCCGTTTGCATTGTAATCTTTATTTTTACATATTTATTTTAACATCTTTTATATATCCCTCCATGGTATATTTAAGTCCCACTTGAATGTCCATCTGTGTCCCAAATTTATCAGAAACACCTCGGGAAGAAGGTTTTTACTGACAGCTGTCATTGTAAAACAGTGAGCAACTCCGTTTGTTTGTCCGAGTGAGCAACAGTAATTAAGGTCAATTGACTTGTTGCCTCGCTGCCCTATCAGGCAATGACTTTGCAGGCAGCGTTTTTGCATGAAGGCACCTCATGAAACTGATTTCGGACAGGCTTCTGGGGCAGCGTAACGGTTTAATGATCTACAACAAAATTGAACGAGTTTTGGTGATAACTAAACGAATATTTAATTACTATAATACTGATTTCTCGCTAGAACTAACATCAAATGTGCAAAAAAGTTAGTCAGAAATATACATTTACACACAAACTTGCCACCAAACGCAACTTTCAGACGGCATCTTTATTTTTTAGCTCAACTGTCAAGGAATGAAACGTACAGGATTGTGGGATATCAAAGGAAGCGAAGGATACATCTATGCTGCCTTCAAAAATCAATCAGATGAAGGTATCTCATGAGACAGGATGTGAAGCTAACTCTGGATTCGGACGTGCCTTGATGCCTTCCTACCTTGGAATGCGTCCTCCGAAGGCAGCATTTTAGAGCTTTCGGACCAATAGTCAAAGGACCGGAAAACAGGCAAGGCAAAACTAGACTAAGACTAGGAAATAAACAATGGCTAACAAAATGGCTCCGTAACGTAGCTATCACTGACTATATGCGATATGCGCATACAATACTCGGCGATCTGAACAAGGAATTCCAGGGCTTATAAAGCGTGTCTGATTGGATTCAGCTGTGTGTGTAATCAGTGCATTCAGCTATGTGTGTATAATCAGTGCAATGGATGATGGGAACTGTAGTCCGGAGTGACATGTAACAGTCTGTGTGGTGTGAGAGTCAATGTAGTGAGCGCGTGACCTCGTGGTGAGTGAACGGAAGTTCATAGACTGGATTCGTGAAACATACTCTCATTAAGTTACACTTTTCATCTGCTCAAGCAGAACGTTAATGTTATCTTGTGCTTCAGCAAGGTATCTCTGGCTAAAACTACCTAACGTTTGCGTTAAAGTTAGTGAGTCCATGCTAACGTACAAACCTTAATAGCAAATTGTTCTCACGTCATGTACCGTGCAGTGAAAGTCAAAAACACATAAATGAAGGTCTATATTAGAGTGTCTCTCCATATTAATCTGGTTAAATGTAAATTAATTTAATCTTACTCTGCGGTACGTTATATGAACGGTGTTGATCCGGGATGTTGTCATTGTGATCATGATGACCGTAACATTCTCCCGTTTGCATTGTAATCTTTATTTTTACATATTTATTTTAACATCTTTTATATATCCCTCCATGGTATATTTAAGTCCCACTTGAATGTCCATCTGTGTCCCAAATTTATCAGAAACACCTCGGGAAGAAGGTTTTTACTGACAGCTGTCATTGTAAAACAGTGAGCAACTCCGTTTGTTTGTCCGAGTGAGCAACAGTAATTAAGGTCAATTGACTTGTTGCCTCGCTGCCCTATCAGGCAATGACTTTGCAGGCAGCGTTTTTGCATGAAGGCACCTCATGAAACTGATTTCGGACAGGCTTCTGGGGCAGCGTAACGGTTTAATGATCTACAACAAAATTGAACGAGTTTTGGTGATAACTAAACGAATATTTAATTACTATAATACTGATTTCTCGCTAGAACTAACATCAAATGTGCAAAAAAGTTAGTCAGAAATATACATTTACACACAAACTTGCCACCAAACGCAACTTTCAGACGGCATCTTTATTTTTTAGCTCAACTGTCAAGGAATGAAACGTACAGGATTGTGGGATATCAAAGGAAGCGAAGGATACATCTATGCTGCCTTCAAAAATCAATCAGATGAAGGTATCTCATGAGACAGGATGTGAAGCTAACTCTGGATTCGGACGTGCCTTGATGCCTTCCTACCTTGGAATGCGTCCTCCGAAGGCAGCATTTTAGAGCTTTCGGACACAGCATAGATCAAAGGACCAAAACTAAACAGGAGAACAGGAAACGAAAGAAACACAAAACTGCTGGACTGCTGAAACTGAAAAATATATTATAAAGCTATAGATATATAATATTTATTTAATCCATATTTTATATATCTCAATAGTCACAATCAAACGGAAGTAGTGACAGATCTTTTCTTCTGCATTATATGACATACATCAGAGCTGAGACTTGGTTCTGTCCATCAGTTGTTGATTGGATGGAGACTGATTGCAAGCTTGTTGATTGTAAGAAAGAGGAAGGGTTTAAGCAGACTAAGTGATTGGAAAAGTCCAATAGAACTAATTACAAGGAATTACGATTTTTAAAAAATACATGAGTCAATAAAAGGCACATGCAAAAACTAATTGTTCATAATAAGAGCAATGATATGCATTTAGGAAATTAGAAGGTAACTGGATACAGTTAAATTTGCCTTTAGACCAGTAGATTGGTAATGATATGGTGTGAAATGGCAACTGAAGTGATGATATTTGTCAGTTATGTGTTAGCCTTTAGCAAACTGGGGTGACGTATTTAAAATCTTAAGCTCTCAGTCCAAACCATTAAAGGTGGAGGGAGTCATTTCTGCACCGAATGCTGCATGATGTTGCCCACACTATGTACACTCTTCATAAAAGTCAAGCTTAAAATGGCTTACTTGCTTACTTATTAGTCTCTGCACAGTAAACTTAAGTATTTTAACATAGGAAAAAGGACACACTTCTGCTTTAAATGCTCAGATTCCACCTCCATTCTTTCCACAACCCTCATCGTTAAGCACAGAATCATTGGCCACCTAACTTTCCCATACGCCACCTCTAGTGAGATACACAGGATGTGAACTCACCAAGAGCTCTCCAGCCTGTTTCCCATACAGTTACTGCTTCACTGGAGTCCAATTACAGTGTGTTTGTGTGTGTGCTGGCCTGTTGGGTATGTCAACAGCCCTGCTGCTCACTAATAGACAGCCTTGAAGAGATTTGCCTGGCTCATTAAGCAGTGTGCTTAGCTGAGTGAGGCATAAGAATGTTTGGAGAGCTGAACTTCAGGACAGGTTCATCACAAACCACTTAGTTTGACACTGAGGTTTTGCATTTGAAATCCATTACGCACAAAAGCATTATTGTTTCCAGACCTTGCCATACAGAGCTCAAATTTTGATGTGTTATTGTAGGTATTAACACAAACTGTTCATAGTGCAGGAAATTCCCACACATTGAATATAGTTGTAATGCATTGTAAAGATGTAGGTGTGAATTAAGTAATTCACAAACATGAATTAATCACGTCTTTCTGTGTCTATTCATATAAAGTAGCATCTTTTTCACATTTACAGAACTTTTGCAATAGATGAACTGCCAGATGAAACCTAAATAAATGTGTTGCTTTAAACCCTGTAAATAATAAGCTGCAGTATAACATATAACATAAACACTAATTTCACTGTACAATACATTTTTCACGTTACTTTTTTAATGACTATCTTGAATATTTACTTATACAATTAACAACCCGATTAAGTAATTGCCATTGGTTTATTTTGTGTAAAGTGTCTGTGAAACAGCAGTATATAAAAATATCAGCATATGATTGCATCCCAGAAACAAGTGACTGTAAATAAATAAAATACAGTATTTTTACAGTAATAAAATGTACTGGGTAACAGTTGAGGTAACAGTTGAGAAAGTCTCTGTTTGAGACATTCAAGAAAATAGATGTCTTTGTGTAGGGCTGCACCAAGGTTAAAATTCTGCTTGATACTAATAAGCGGATAGCAGTTTTTATTTTATATCCAATATCTGATAAATGGCTGATATTAATATTGAAATGGAAAAATAAAACACAAAAAAACTCAAATCAGTCATTCTAAATTCTACAAGTAAATGTAGGCATCACATATAATGTACTCAGTGCACTTACAGTATTAAAAATGCATTTGCTTGCAGTTTTAATATTAAAGAAACATAAAAGATCTCTAATATTGCTATGTTGCTGATATATTGTGCATCTTTATTTTTGCGAATAAAGTAAGTCCACTCCATTGCTGCATCTCATTTTGGATGCTGCATCCTCCGGAGGTCGTATTTATCGCCCACATATGTCATCAAGGCAGTCTCATTTAAGAAAATTAACTGCTAGATTGCAAAGAATATGCACCTCACAAGGAATAACAGTCAACTTTATTACGGTTACTTTTCTTGAATAAGACATCCTTGATGACGCATGCAGCCTACAAATGCGACCTCCGGAGGACACAGCCTCTAAAATGAGATACAGCTCATATTTCAAAAGTTAGCGTGACCATCCCATGATAGAATGGCTCTTTGTCTCTAAACAAGTTTTCCAAATGTAAGTTTGTTTATGAAATACTTGCCTGATTAATACACTTTTGCATGTTTGGCAAGTGTTTAGTTCGTGATCTGGAAGGGAAAATATGTCTGTGTAGGGTGAGAAAAGCAGACCTTTAGTTGAACAATGCTCTGTGACTCATGCAGGCCACAGGTCCCTAAGGAGTGCAGACGGCCAGTAGAGGATCCGGAGATGCTAAGCACCGCTTGCTTCCGTGAATGCAAGAATGGCCACTGTACACCAACTGGCAAGTGCTGCTGCAGTTCTGGCTGGGAGGGCCCCTTCTGCTTACTAGGTACAGAGCTAATCAGAGCACTTTATCTGTCTTTGATTTCAAAGTTGTGCAAACTTCCAACCTTTTTCAATGGCTTTTCAACGTATTTCTCTTTGTTATTCGCAGCCAAATGTGAACCGGCCTGTCGCAACAGCGGTGTCTGCGTGGAGCCCAACAAGTGTCTCTGCAAGGAGGGATTCTCTGGCAGCCAGTGCGAGAAAGGAGATCGAGGGACACAAGGGGACGGTGAGAAAGACAGCATCCTGGAGCACATCATTGACATGACGTCTTACCTGCTGGACCTCACCAGTTATATTGTATAAAAAGCAGGGCAGGATGATAACGCGCTCTTCACCGGTTGGCAGACTAAATGTTACAGAGGCCTTTCAAGAGTTTGCCTTCAGGACACCATCCCCAATCTCCAACTGCCCCTCATCTGATCCTCTCCCACCACTGTTTCATAAGCCACAGGCTTTGATCTCCATGCTCCCCTACACCATCTGCACTCCCACCCCTATGCACAAATACACACGGAAAACAATAACAGGGTGGCCAATGGAACCTCAACGCGCATAGCTGAAGGGGTCGCATGTTGGAGGTCCCACGCAGGGCTCCCCAGTTTTTACTGCTGGTATGGTATGTAAAGTCTGGTCCACTTTAAAGTCAAGTGTCCCTGCAAGTGGACTCACAAAGCACTGGAAGCCCCACATGAGACCAACTCATGTTCGGTCCAATCCCAACATGGGCACCGGTTTGTACTACAGGACTAATTGGGATTTTAGGGAGTCAAGAATAACAACTCTCCTTTAGGAAAGTCAGATGGACAGTCTACCAAACTGAACTGCACCATAAAGAAAATCACTGCCATGGATTCACAGTTTGTTTGAAGAACGGAGAGGAAGTAGCTGTCAATACAGCCGCAAAACCATACAACAGACTTAGTCTTATTCAGCTGGTCTGTGTATAACTGGAGAATCATTATGATGGGACTTGATGCCAGTTTACATGCAGTTTAGAAACAGATCTGCTAAAATGTCATCCATGATCACTGAGGATCCTGCAGAGTCAAGCTGAATATTGGTTGTATCCCATTGATGTTTCATTTAGATGAAAACATCAAGTGAAATGTAAATCTAAAAGAATGTTTGGACAGTCACTTTGATTACGTTAATTTAATACATTAGTTGGAGATGACTGGTTTGCGGAGAAACTACCCTGAAGAGGTAACTGCTCTGGTTTAAGTTGCAGTATTAGCTATATAATTTTCCTACAGTTGTTCATGACCATGCACGCTGCTTTCATTGCAAATTGTATATCTTATCATATTTTAAAATGTTCATATATCTTTTTTTTTTTCTGTGTGATATCAAGCACAGAAGCTTTTTTTCATATGGAAAACCCTCTTAAGGTGATTTTAGCAAATAATAGTCTTTTCACAGATTATTTGACCGTCACAATGGGAAACTTCATGTAATGTTATCCATATTTTTTTTTTCTAAACACCAAACCATATTCAGTTTTGTCATATACAAAAGGGAACAAGACTGGTGACTGGTGTACATTTCATATAGTACTGTACTGAGATACGTACTACTTAGATTTGCCATTGTTTTAATAGAGGAGGGTTTATTTTTTTAAGGAATAATATATGGGAGAGGAGCAGTTTTGCATTAAGCCTGTAAATTCATTTTACGTACTTTACTAAATACTTACATGGTTCTGTTGACAATACCACATCTATAAAAGTCTAATTTAAAGCTATAACATTGTTCTCTTACTACAAGAGTGCTTTAAAAAAAAATAGATCTTTCCTTCTGACTATGTGATGTTTCTGTAATACGAGGCTGAAGCTATAATTTTAGAGGCAGTTTTTTTTCTGACCAGAAGAGGATGTTAAATACGGTCTATGATCTCATCAAAACCCCATAGTATCCCTCCAAAAACTGATGCTTTATAGAGAAAACTGTTGTTGGTTGAACGCTATCCAGTAGATGAATTATCAAAATGCACTATAACTCCAAATATAATTTTTCCCATACTTCATCATAGTTCCTCATCAGATCTTTTTTTCTTCTTCTTCTTTTTTTTTCTCATATGATTCAAACTAGTCTAAAATGGGACCACATTCTATTCAGCTTTAGGCTTTAGAAATTTGTAGTCAGAGAGGTCATAAATATTACACAGCTTTCATTGAGCCTGTTTTCGATGTGATTCTTGTCATTGAAAGGTTACAGTCCCCTCTGAAATATTCAGGTGTTTTTGATGTTTTTAGTATAATCACTTATTCCTCCCAAAGACAAGTATATCAACAACAACCCCCACTTGTTTATGACTTTCCAGTGCATTTTAACATTGTTACAGGTAAGGAATCCATGCTGTAAATCTACTCTATAATTTTAGCACTTAATGTGAAACCTGCATTAGAGCTGCTGGGAAGGTGTCATGTGAATAGAGTAACCCTGATTCTTTTATTATTTAAGTAGTTACGCCTTAAAGTTATTTAAGTTGTCTACAATGTTTTAACTGTTGTATGTGAAGAAATCATTTATTGTAAATAACTAGGTTTATCTTGGGTTCTTCTCAGAAATATCAATGTTTATTAAAGTGTATAGCATGTTTGAGAACTTATTGAACGACTACTTATTTTATCTCTAAAATTTGATCTGATATGTGATGTAACTCACCATGGGTGTTTTTCATAAATGTTTTACTACATGAATCTATATTATATGAGTTTATAGTGTCTATATAGTTTCACAAGCATGCATATTCTTTGTTTTCTCCTGCTAAACTAAGGAAACAAATATTTTGCAGTTAAAACAAGGTATTAGATTTTACATTAAATTCATTAAGTGCTGGGAAGTGTCTAATTTCTTGTGCGTCACCATCCAAATTTCCATTTTCTTCTGCCATCAAGGTAGAGTGGAGAGAAAGGTGCACTGAGAGGTTGCCAAAGAGGTCAACATTGCTCAGTCACTTATAAGTCACTTCTGTCGCTATCCGCTCAGATGAAAGTACCATATTTAAATAAGGATGTTACATGGTATGCCCACAACAACAATAAAAATCGTTCGCTTTGAAAATGCCCGTTCAGTGCCGTCCTCTGCGAATCTTTACTGGAAACTTAACAAACGGAGCAGTGTAGGTTGATAGCGTTATTAAATTCCATCTCCAGACATCAATCAGGTTGAGTGGTTGTTATAATAATGAATGAGGACCACCCACATCACCGTAGTCACCCCAATGTATTTAGAGTAACGCAATACTAAGTTGTCTGTGCGTTGTTCGGAGCCAATCATAATTGTGTTGGAGGAACGGCCGATAGGGGTGTATTTGAGTTTATATACTATCTGTGGCATGAATCATTACTTTTCATTTGAAATGGTTTTCTTTCTCTTCCCCAAAGGGCCTTTGCCTGGCTATATTTCATAAACGGTGTAACAGAGCACTCAGCATAAACATGACAAGTCTGTATACTAAATATTTGTGAAACTCTTTATGGTTGGAAAACTCGCTTATAATATCATATACACAGAATAAAGACTTATCGGGCAGATAATGGGTTTAGATAAGAGAATGACAAGAGATAGGAACGTACTACTTTATATATACTGTGTATGTGGATGTATGTATATCAATGAACTTCCACGAACACCGTACTTAATCTATTAAACAGAACACACATCTACTTTTATCACACACGCGCTTTAGCAGAGCATTCAATTACCTCATATATTTATGTGACTGAGTCAGTGAGGACTGCTGAAGTGTGTGTGGTCATGACTGAGGAAGTCTGAGTCCCTCAGAGCCTCACTGATGAAGCTATGCATCATAACACACCCTCAAAATTAGAGCAAACATGCAACGGTAGTCTTCCTTAAACCACCTCCTTAGTTCAACCAAAATGAATATTCTGTCATCATCAATTACTGACATTCCAAATTCAGTAGTACGATCACTTACTATGATGAACAGAGCAAAATAATTTACTATCAAATCAGATCAAACCCAGATCAAATATGTTGTTAATAGACCTTAGTCAGGGTAGTGTCATATTTAATTTGACAGGAATGAAAACAAGGCTGTAAGGGATGGATTGTACTGTTGTTTAACAACATACCCATGGTTGATGAAACATATTTCCAAAAGAAACTTTGGTCCCACTTTATATTAAGTGGCCTTAACTGCTATGTACTTACATTTAAATTAATCATTTGGCACAATGCACTCATTGTGTACTTGCATGTTTTTACATTGTACTTATATTTTACAAATACCTGCATGTAATTACATCTGTAATTAATTTATGTAATTACATTTATAATTACACTGTTGACCCATCCCTTACACCTTAACCTACCCTTAAACCTACCCATACCACCAAACCTGTCCCTAACCTTACCCGTTTCCCACCTCAATAGCAGCAAAAGTGTTTTGCAATACAATATGAGCACTAAGTACATTGTACTTATTTTTTGATGTAAGTACATAGTAGTTAAGGCCACTTAATATAAAGTGGGACCGAAACTTTCAGTAGACCAAAACTCCATTAAACCATTTTGAAAATCGTGAGTTGTGAAAATTACATGATCTCTGACTTTCATACAGTGCGTGAGTTAAGGCCAATTAATATAAAGTGGGACCGAAACTTTCAGTAGACCAAAACTCCATTAAACCATTTTGAAAATCGTGAGTTGTGAAAATTACATGATCTCTGACTTTCATACAGTGCGTGCCATTGTAAAGACTAAGTCGATCCCTCACATCCTCGTTTAATTTGGCGTCTAACCTGACTAAGGTCGCTGTGGTCAAACATTGATAAAAATCAAACCTCATTGGTTCTTGAGTGAACATGATGTTACATCACATGACCAAGTTATAGTATTGCTTCAGAAAACTTTGAATTTAAACCACAGGAGTTGTTTGGATTACTTTTAAGCAATTATGTCATTTTTTAATCTTGAAGGTTTTGGAGCCCATTGACTTTTATTATATGGAAAAAAACAGCTGAAAGATTCTACAAATATCTTCTTTTGTGTTATGCAGAAGAAAGATAATAATTTAGAATGAAGTAAATAAGAATTTGACAGATTTATATATATTATTCCCGGTCCCACTTTATATTAAGTGGCCTTAACTACTATGTACCTACATCAAAAAATAAGTACAATGTACTTATTGTGTTCATATTGTATTGCAAAACACTTTTGCTGCTATTGAGGTGGGAAACGGGTAAGGTTAGGGACAGGTTTGGTGGTTTGGGTAGGTTTAAGGGTGGGTTAAGGTTTAAGGGATGGGTCAACAGTGTAATTATAAATGTAATTACAGAAATTAATTACAGATGTAATTACATGCAGGCATTTTTTAAATTATAAGTACAATGTAAAAACATGTATGTACGCAACAAGTGCATTGTACCAAATGATTAATTTAAATGTAAGTACATAGTAGTTAAGGCCACTTAATATAAAGTTGGAACTTATTCCCTTTAAACTTCAGGAAACCGCAATTAAACCAGCACACAGGGTAGGGCTATACCCTACATGTCAACAGCTCCATGCTATCTTCCAGGCTTTACCTATAGTAGAACTAATCTCTCTTTGTCAAGCACTCTAGCATATTGCATATGGCAGATTAGCTTAAAAGAGAAACTCTCTCCAAGGCCTTGAATCTTCACTTCTGACTCGGATCCATGAAATGATGCAATTATGGTTCCTACTGGGGCCCAATCTGTCATGTAAACACACACCCAGCCCCATCCAAGGGCAAGGATTGGAGATTGGCAGGAGGAGACAGGTAGATGTCAGGATGAGAGAATGATAGAAGGGGGATGGGTGTAGAGGACTTAAGTTCGTATGCCAATTTGGTGTTTACGTGTGGTATTTTAGATGCAGGATGTGAATGCAAACATGGGTGAATGTGTGTGGCACTGCACTCATGTGGTTGTGCAATGAGACACTTTGTCTTTTTTGTCCATCTTCCTGTACCGCGATCCTTAGCGGGGCTTAGTAAACACTTGGTATCAACAGAATGGGACCACCTAGGTAAAAGTTTCCATGTTGAGGCATTTCTTCAAACTGTGGCCGCAAATTTTCCCAAACACATTAAAACAAGCTATGCAAATGTTTTATGATGGTACTTGCGTAGCGTATTGTTATATTAACCTGTGCAAACGTTCATTCATCTTGGCAAACTCGCTGTGTTTCTGTGCTTCAGATCTGTAAGGCTCTTAGAGTTTACACAGGCTACATCAAAAGCCACAGTCCAGCTTTCTGCAGTATGATCAAAGGAGATTAATGGGCTTTCGCTTAAAGATGTGCACTTAAGACCTTGCACAGTCATCTGTAAAAGTGGATAAGGAAATTCTCCTCACCTTTACAAGTTCTGGCACCAGTGAAGTGATAAAACTTTCATGTAAGACCAGCAAAAAATAAATAAATAAATAAATAGCAATGAACATATTGTACATAAATTCAGTGACCACATTTTAATTACTGTCCACTGTAACTTAAAGGCATAGTTCTCACTCTCATGTTGTTCAGAGACTTTCTTTCTTCTGTGGAAAACAAAAGCTGATTATTTGAAGAATGCTTCAACTGTTTTTGCCCATACAATGGAAGTCAATGGGGTCCAAAACAACACTTTACCCCAATGACTTTCACTACATGGGGGGTGTAGGTGTACTTTTTTGTTCCCTAAGTGCATTTCAATCATATATTTTATAAAGTAATTTATTCCTATGATGTCAAAGCTGAATTTTCAGCAGCAATTACTCCAGTCTTCAGTGTCACATGATCCTTCAGAAATCATTTTAATAATTTGTGGCTCAAGAAACATTTCTAATTATTATCAGTGTTGAAAAGAGTTAATTGCTTCATATTTTTGTGGAAACTGTGATGTGACTGAATAGAAAATTCAAAAGAACAGCATTTATTTGAAATAGAATTGTAACTTTAATGTGTTAATAACAGTGTTAATTGCTTTCAAAAAAATAAATAATACAAAAATCAAGATCGTACCGAATTAACAATTCTTTGACTTGTCCCCCTCCTCAAAAAAAGAAAACCCACTTGAAATCCTCAGACTGATCAATTTAAACATAGATGTGGTAATCATATAAATGTTTTTGTGTTATATTCCTCGCAATAGAACTTAATCAGCACAGTATGTGCTTATGACTCAGGCACGCTGTGTTTACAGTGGCTCTTTTGTGTATCGGTTGGTTAATGAGGCCAGGCATAGCTGGATCATGATGTGCGTGATGATTTCTTGTGTTGCTGTTGTCTGTGTAAGTTGCCTTACTGTCTGTCAACTCCCTGAGAATCTGGAGTTTACAAGCTGCATCGTGAATCTGAAGGGATAACAGTCAAAACTGACAGCCCACACACGCTCCTGATAAACATGTACTTGTGCATGCAGAGAAATACACAAACACACACATCTTTAATGGGAAACATCCTAATCTGACCGTGGTCTTGTCCACCCTGAACCAGATGTGCATGCTGAAAATAAATTAATCACCCTAATGTAACCTGCATCATTTCATATAATAAGAATCCAGTGTTTCTTGTATATTGACATTGTTATCTGTATCTGTGGTGTGTGGTGGGAGGCAATGTACTCTGGGTTTATTATTATTAATATTTATGTATTTGAATTGCATATACAATTTCCATCCAATTGGATTACACCGTTTTAACATAAACTAATTAACTTTAATGTGATGCATATTTGTCAATCATACACAAGTGAAACAGATAAGAAACAGGCCTAAATCGTTTTTGAGTGATACTAATTTTCAGTTATTTAACTGGATGTGTTTCAAAAAGCAGAGAGACTGTTGTTAATAACCCATTCCGTGTCACCTGCAGTTATACACACTGTGAGCACCCTGAATGACCTGAGAAACATTTTCCATTCGAAAATTTCTCAGCAGTTATTACAGTATCTGTCCTGTACTGTTGACTGATGGCTATCATTTGAATTATTTTAAGTAAGTTCTTTCTTTTTAGTGAATTGACCAAACAAGTTTTTGAGCTATGAGACACTTAAGAACATAGAAATCAAAGAGCACTGGATGAAATCTATGTCCATTTTGTTGATTTTTGAAATTTTTGTGTTTTTAAATTTTTAAAATGTTTACAGACACCTCCATTCTGCTGATGTGTAATATTGCTCTCATTGATTGTTTGGTCTGAAGAGTCTCAAGTCTTATCTTATATATATTTTATATATATATATATATATATATGTATTTATTTTTATTTTTTTTCAGGAATGAAAACAAGGCTGTGAGGGATAGAATTACAGTGCGTCCAATTGATTGTACTGTTATTTAACAACATACCAATTGTTCAGCTGAATAACAAAGTTAAGTAAAGAGAGAGAGAGAGCGAGAGAGAGAGAGAGACAATACTTTAAAATAATATGACAAGAAATACCAGTACCTTGCCATTTCAAACAGCATAATGACCTGTTTTGTTCCCTGCAAAATAACTGGAAGTGGATGACACTGGAAGCCTCACATAAAATACATATAATATCACGTGACCTATCAGCGTCAATTGCATCACTTCACTGCCGATTGGTGTGTTCGACTTGAAGCGGCACTGCACAGACCGATCAGTATATGCCATCAAAGTATCGCAAGTACGAATTAGAGAGCAGAAGGCTACATATACTTTTGAATCACTCTCGTGGTACTTTGATGTCATACACCAGTTGGTCTGTGCAGTGCCTCTTCAAGTCAAACACACTTATTCATAAATCCTCATGGCCTCATGGGATAGTAAAGTGTCCAACGAATGTGCACTTCAAAATCCTGGTGGAAGTAGTAGGTCATCTATACTAGGTCATCGCATACTGTTTTATGAATTCTGTGACATTCTGGCATACTGTTTTTTTTGCATACTATAGGGAAGTATTTAATGTACTATTTAAAGGGCATTCTGTAGTTCTTTAGGTAGCTTTAGCATTGCTGGTGCATGTATGCAGTCTCTGCGCTATTAGTGTCTCTTAGCGGAACTACAAAAATAAAGCATTTTTTGCTAACAACCTTTGCAAACGCTCCTTTCGCGCATCCCGCCTCCCTCCGCCAACTCAATAATCAGCTCTTACAGATCTATAAATGTAAAGGCATGTCTTCACAGGTTGGACCTTTCAATAAAATGTCCAACATAGTAAGAATACTTTTGAAGTTTAGCTTACCTGTCGAGAAGAAAATCTACATGTTTGTTGTATCAGTTGAAACCCAAATACTCCATCAAAATCTTTTAAAAACACTGCCAATGTTTACCCTTTTTTACCCCAATGTCTCTGTATTTTGGCAAGTCTTCAAATTTTGGCTTGCACTTCTGTGACGGAATCAGAAGTTATTTTTTCACACCGGCTAAACACCCGCTGGCTCAGCTGGCTACAGCAGACGACTTTAATTAAATTGTTTGCTATCAGACTATGAAGAGACTAAAAGAAAAACAAAAAGAGCATGACAAATCATAGTTTGGCAGTTGTACTTTTTATGTGTGCTGAAAAAAATGATGTGAAAGGAAGGGAAAAGAGTTTGAGGTACACAGTTTTAAGTTGTAACGCCATGTCACATTGATCAACATGCCATTTCATGTTGCATTTTTATTGGCTAGTCAGTAAACGTAGGTTGTAGCAGCAAACACACTGTGTGATGATCATGCTGAATTTCTGACACTGTCAGAAAATTATTATATGCTATCTTTGGTCGCAAGACTGTGACAAAGGCCATCTTTGAACATTTCTCACTATACGACATTGGACCACCGATTAGGAGCCACGATTGTTTCACAATTGCTAATCTTTCGTCTACGACAGCCGAAAATCGTTCAGTGTGTCCCGGCCTTAACATCATTTCATTGTGGCGAAACACTGTACACTGAGGGGGGTGAATTAAAACTTGTTTATGGAAAACTAATATGAGTACAGTCAGAATTAATCTCAGTGAGAGTATACCATTCAGATGACTCTTCACAAAAATACAATATATTAAATTAGCACCAAACTACTGAATGCACCTTTTGTTTTATTTCTGTATTTACAGTTTATTTCTCATCTGAATTTTTGAGGAGGCATTGCCTCTTGCCTCATTGAACAAACCCCACTCGTGCTCATTCTTATCCATCAAACTCATTCTTGCTATTTTTTTACTTTTTTTTATTCAGCCGTACGATTTTAACAAATAACTGGGAGCAAAAAAGTGATCTCCAGTGCCAAAATATACATTTATCCTAGAATAATTCCTTTTCAGACATGGTTAATCCAAAGGATCTCTTTGCACTGAGACATATTTGAGTGTGTTGATGTTAAAATAAGTGCTGCATGGAGTGCTGGTGAAGCACTTCTCCATATGACAATATGAAGAGCATAAAATTATTAAACTTTATTGTTTTTTATGAACACATCTGAATGAGCTGCATGGCATGTAACTGGCAAAATAACCAGTGCTGAAATGCCAACAATACTAAAGATAAATATAAGACGTGAAAGAACATAATAAATCACCGCCGCCACAGGTGTCATGTATATAGAATGTCTCGTTCAATGAATCGGCGAACAACAAAGGGCCTTCCTGACTTTGAGTTGTTTCATCTATGACCCACCCAAGAGCTCATCATTTCGGTCCCCCACCCGTTGTGTCAAATGTGTCACACAGTTATGCATCACTGATGCCCCGTCAGCCTCTCTGCAGGTGTCTTGTCACACCCTCTGAACCCCGTGGCTTGGCCTATGACCTCCAACACCTGGAAGAAGCCCAGTTACTTACGACCTTTGACCCTGCTGTGTTCATCACTGCCTGGCACCTGTTGAACACATCAGAGAGCTCTGCTATTCACATAAGAGACTTTCAACATGAGGTCAACAGGTTGTGAGGCAAAGAAACTTTGATTCAGTTCTTAAATGTCACAACTTTCAAGTAAAATGTCACATTCAGTATATCCAAATGGCATATATCAAGTCTCATATGGAGTGTAATGACATTCCAGAATAAACTGCTACAGATCAAAGCTTCATCTGTGAACAGATAATCATCACTCACAGGACAAATCATTTTATTTTATTTTTCAAGGCAGACAGAAGGTGGCAGTCCTTCCATATCACTTAGGCTACTCATATTCAATTCAATGCAAGTTTATTTGTATAGTGCTTTTCATGATACATATCGTTTCAAAGCAGCTTTACAAGAGATGCATGTTTCTATATTAAGTTACAATTAAGAGTTATTTTTTATCAGATGAAACTATGTCAAAGTAATGTCAATATGGCAGAAATGTACATGTCTAGGATAATACAAATCATGCAGTTAGTTAATGACGTATTCAAGCACAAACGATGAACACAATGATTGTATTTTGTGATAATAATGATTCAAATGTAAGGAAAATTTGGCTGTTCTGTATATTTATTTATAGTTGGCTTCATCTGAGGTTCTCGTAGGGGTTAGTGCCATCTCCTCTCATGTCATTGGGTCTTCTGATGTATTCATAAGAGGCTGGATCCAAACTGGAGCTTGCGCAGTCTCTAGTTACCACAGGATGGGCATCCCGAGGTAGAAACAGAAAATAAAATCGAGAATAATTAACGTAGATGCTGTTCATAACATTTCAAGCAAAGAATAATCATACATTTGATCAGATTTAAGTACAAGGTTATGAGATGCATTATGTAAATGCTTGGCTAAAGAGATGTGTCTTTAATCTAGATTTAAACTGGGAGAGTGTGTCGGAGCCCCGAACATTATCAGGAAGACTATTCCAGAGTTTAGGAGCCAAATGTGAAAAAGCTCTACCTCCTTTAGTGGACTTTGCTGTCCTAGGCATTACCAAAAGTCCAGAGGTTTGCAACCTTAAAGAGCATGATGGGTTGTAGCCAGAGTACGATTTACACAATGGCCTTCAGGGGGGTCATTATATGTAAGAAATAATTGAAGACAGGCCGTTTAATTATAAGAAAATGATGCACACCTGAGGTGGTGATGCTGATGCAGTTTAACAGCATTAAAGAGGGCAAATGTTATCACTCAACTGCGTGTATGCATTTTAAACACTTTCTTTTTAAACCTTATAAGTAAGTAGCAGTATTTTGCAATCGATACAGAGCTTAATAGGTAGCCAGTGTAGAGATTATAAAGTTGGGGTGATATGATCATATTTTCTTGATATGGTAAGAACTCTAAGACTCTTTGGACTAACTGCTGCATGTTTGATAAAAATGCAGGACAACCACCTAGAAGTGCATTACAATAATCCAGTCTAGAGGTCATGAAAGAAAAAAGATACCAATTTGGAACAACTTGAGAGTGTAAACGATGACAGTATTTTGGGTGAACTATACCTTTAATTTATACAACAGTTAGTTTTTGGTCCTCATATCCAACAGTCCAACAGCACTTAGATCGCTGTTTGTATCACTCTGCCTGTCTTTGCACATTGATTTATTCAGAAATGAATCGCCAACTACATGTCACTCACAGATGCACAACGTTCTGCTGTGGCTTTATTTGGAGCTATTTCCGTTGGTGGAGCTTAAAGAACTAGCAGTAGTGTGTCTAAAATGTAAGTTGCTCAACATTAACTTCTTATTTGTTGAACTGTTGTAAAGCAATGTCACACTTGCATGCATGTTGTTTACAACCATGATTCGGCCGTAGGTGAGAGGCCTCCAGGAACAACAGCACTCTTGCTTATGTGATATTGCATAAATACTCTTTAAATCCTTAGGACCAGCTTGTAATTTTCAAAAACAACTCAGAAAGGTAAAGTTAGTTCTGAATTTTTTGTTCTGATATTTTGATATATATGCAGTGAAATTAATTTAAGTATGTCTTAACTGTCCCACTACTTCTTGGTGTCACTGTAAACTCAAAGATTATTTCCACAGAAAATATTGTTGTCATTTGTACAATGACTTCCATGAGTGACCTTCTGAAGTCTCAGATCCATTTAAAATGATGAGAAGTTATTTGATGTGATGTACGAATAGTTAAATCATCTGGTGGGGTGAAGGGGGGTGGGTGGCCTCACATCAATCTTAGAACCACACACTGTGACATCCCAGGAGCTTAGAATCGCCTCTGCATGATAGCACATTCGCTCAAGTACCAGGATTATGTTTAATTGTGTTATCACAATGAACAGGCTCTGAGGTTTGGCAGGGAGTCAAAGGCAGATAATGCTTACTGGTCTTTACCCACTCAGTGATGTGCAGAGGTGCACTTGACAAATCTAAGAAGCTTTTACACAGTGAAATGCATTGCAAAACTGCTGCTCCTCTGCACTCATTGTGTCATTGTGAAGACTAAAAAAGGTACTGTGGTTGAAATACCACACATGCTTTTATTCTGTGCCACATGAGACTGTTTTGAGTTTTGCCTTAAGGGTGAGTCATCAAGTGCAGTCATCTCATAATAAGCCGTCAACAGTCATCTCTATGTATAATTCTTTTTAAATTCCAATTCAATTCCTGAATTTGAAAGGAGGCAGGATGCAGAATTAAAAAATGTTTTAACTAGAAAATCAAATGATGGTGCTGAGACGCAGCTGACACAGAACAGCATACGCTGTTTATGTCCAGCGGATACTCTCCAAAATGGCACTACAGGGTGATGTGGAGGAGACGAATTGTTGAGTTAAGTCGTAATTTTTTTTCTTTTGCGCACAAAAAGTATTCTCGTAGCTTCGTAAAATTACGGTTGAACCCCTGATGTCACATGGATTATTTTACAGATCTCCTTGCAACGTTTCTGGACAGTTGTATTGCTGTCTATGCAGAGTCAGACAGTTCTCAGATTCTATCAAAAATATCTTAATTTGTGTTCCGAAGATGTACGAAGGTCTTACAGGTTTGAAGGACATGAGGGTGAGTAATTAATGACAGAATTTTTATTTTGGGGTGAACTAACCCTTTAACAAGTTTGAAAGATATAAGTATGTTTGAAATGCCAGCTATACAAATATGTAATTAGTTTATTTAATTTGGTTTATATATTTCACTCCCTTTTCTAGAATGCATTAACTGTGTTAAACGTCTTTGAATTACAGTTCAGTAAATACCTTTTCCTGTCATTCCTGATTTCAAATTAACTTTTGTATTCACACCTTTGTATTGGGTGTGGACAATAAAATTTACACTCATGAACGTAAAGCAATCCAATTCTCAACTTTATTTTATTTATTGATTTAACCTTTATTTAACCAGGCAAGTCATTAAGAACAGGTTCAACTCTGTTGTTTATCCTTTTGTTTTGTTCCTCTTTTCAGTCACACAGTACAGATAAACATATAATGCATGTTCTTGGATTCAGTTTCAAATTTTAATTTTTTATTTTTTTTGGTTGTTCGTGCTGTGGCTGGATACTAAAATGCACTGCTAAAGGACTGCAGTGAACTCTCTTCTTGCAGTGACTGTGTTGGACGGTGCCAATTTGCTGTTTGTGGTGTTCACAATTCACCATTGTTTGGTCGTTTTATTTTTCAACTCATACTGTTTGGACCACTGGATCACACACTTGCTAATCCCTGAAATCACTCTGGATTATGCTGCAGACTGTGGTATATTATTTCTGATATATTGTTTATATTTTTAATGCATTGTAAAACACCCTGTATAAAGTAAATATATTATTATTTGTAACTAGTGAATTTAACTGCATGACATGGCTGATCATGTGGTGTAAACATGTCGGCACACATGAGGAGGCGATCTGCTCCATGTAGTGTAAAACAACCTTCTCTATAGAAGACTGATTTAAAGTAAGTGTCTTTAACAGGTCTGTGACCATCTAATGCTGAGTACACACCACAAGATAATCGGGCTGATTTTGGGCCGATTTCTCCCCTTCCGACAATCAATGTCCCGTTTATCTTGGTGGTTCTAAAGATGATCTTATCAGATTTTCCTGTGGTGTGAGGTGTGTTAAGAGTGACTGAATCTGCTCGGAAGAACGTCGGAGGCGCCCCGATCGCGAATCGTAAATATTCAACATGTTGAATATTTACGATCAGAAATCCTGATGTGTGGGGGGGAACCCCGAGGACAAGCACGCGCGTATGATCTGGAGATTATCACGTGAAACGATACAATATCCAATCAGAACGCGAGCTGACAGAAGACGGAAGCATAAGAAACGCAGTCATGGCGCAGCACAAAAGGATTTGCACAGCAGAGATGGAGGATCAGCTTGTCGATTGGTTATAAAACGTGTCCATTTTCTGTCAAAATCATTCCAAACACTATCATCACAATTTCTTCTTGCCTATTGTCCGCCATGTTTATTCTCAAGTCTCGAGAGATTTTGCGAGATTTCCCGTGTTCACAGTCAGAACTCTGGTTGAAAATCTGTTGGTGTGTGGTGTGCTGTCTTTGTCACATTGCGGCACACCACACACTATAGGAGCAAATCTAGGATTTTTTTGTCCTCATGTTTTGTCCTCATCTTATAAGATTTTAAAAATCTTTTAGTGTGTACCCAGCATAAGGGGCCAATGGTGGAACTGCAGGGCATCTGCAAATTATTGTTTGATCTTAAACTAATTTTTAACATTATTTAGAATATGTGTGAATCAATCAAAGCCAAAGAAGTGACATTGTATAGTGATATTTTATATGATAATATAATATGATATGTATATATATATATATATATATATATGTGTGTGTGTGTGTGTGTGAAGACATTATATGTTTTGTAAATGCCAAGCTTAACAGACTGTCTGTCTTCATTTCCCTAACTACCCACACAGTCACATCCCAGCAGACAGAGTCCCCATTCATCTGCACACAGGTGACATGACCTGTCTACACTTGCACACAAACACACACAATTCCCATCTATTTGTCAGGGATTCATCAGGGACTGTCCTTTTTCACGTCTGACACAAATGCATCTTCTGCTCGACAGCAAAACAGCTGTGAGGCAAGTGCTTTCCAAGTCTAACTTGACTCGATATGATGCTGTTTAAAAGCTACATGAAGGGTTATATCAATCAACACTTCTGCATTATTGGACTTCTCTTTGTAGTTCCTGATATAGCCATTCCCGACAGGTGAGTAGAAATTTTCTTAGTCGATTTTTTTATTTTACCATAAAATTGTTTATTGTGGCTTTGCAAGACTTATGCAAAACAGCTAAGCCTCAAAACAAAGATCAAGCTCTATAACAGCAATGTTAAATCAGTGCTTTTGTATGGCTCTGAATGTTGGAGAGTAGTGAAAGAAGGCATGAGCAAGATAGATGCCTTCCATAATAGTTGCTTTAGAAAGATCTGTAACATATACTGGCCAAATACCATCTCCAATACCAATCTGTACAAAAAGACAAGATCAAATACCATATCTCAGGAGATCAAAATATGCTGATTAAGATGGCTTGGTCATGTACTTAGGATGCCCTGTGAAAGGATACCTAAAGTGGCTTTGCGTTGGACACCAGGCAAACGCAAATGTGGCAGGCCAAGAACAACATGGCGACGTACAGTGGAGACAGAGCTGGAAGAAATGGGGCTCTCATGGGGGGAAGCACA